AACGTCTCTCAGTCTCCTACAAAAACAGACTCTAAACAACTGGTCTTTTATTCCAGTCCCTGAATTCCCTTTCCTGCACTGTACAGGACCGGGTTGACGACCAGGGTCCAGGCCCTATACAACCTTCGTAAGGGAGAGTTCAGAGACCCGACTACCCGTCTTTTCCTTGTCAGTTTCCCTTAGTCCGTCGAGTGACGCGAATGAGAGCGCTCGAGGAAAATGAGTAAGTAACTTAATTTAGGCATATCAAAATTTAAGCACGAGAGCTCTTTTAATCGTAAATGTGCATAAAAAATATTAAAATAAGATCCATGAATTATTAGATATTTAAGCAATAGACCACAATTTTTTATGGTTTATAGGCTGATAAACCACGCGGGATGTTGGAAGAACACGAGAACAATTCGTAAATCACAAGCCGCAGGCGAGTGATTTACGAATTCTTCGAGTGTCTTTTCACGGTTACCTTTGCTCATTTGCATTACAATAAAATCTAGCATGTATGTGAGGCAATTTCGGGCTATTTTGTAGTTTTAGCCCGAAATCGCCTCGCATCCACGTTGAATCACATTGTAATGCAAAAGAGAAAAATTAACCGTGAAAAGGGCTATAGCTTCTCGGACTTCTCGCGGATCGGGTCAACATTGAGTGATGGCTTTAGTTCTTTTAGGGCTTTTAGTTTGACATCAGTTGAGTTTTACAGGTTGATCTTGTAAAATGGAAAGCATTCTTTGCATGGCATACTTCTTAATACACAGGGTCAAAATTAAAATGGTCCATTCTATCCTCCCCAACAGAGCAACTTCCGCTAACTGATCGTTGGCGTGTTGATTTCGAATTCCGTGAAATTTAAGGCTTCTTTGCATTTTTATAATTTATTCTCAGTCACAAATGTACAACTCACAGTCGAAGAAGGGTCCAATTTCACGAGCTAGGATTTAACCCTGTTACCCTCTTTGATGATCTTTGATATATCATTCTTAAACGGTGGAACTTTTCTTTCCTGTAGCAGCCGTACGGTCAGAATAGTCAGAATATGCCATAGTGACTGGCGGAATGCACTCTCACCAGCTAATTTTAACTTGACAAGTGTTAATGAATCAAATTTTAAATAGCGTTGAAAGCTGTGTCTATCATTAAACAATGAAAGCAAGCTGATGTACCATCAGTCTTCTTCTCTAAACTTCATGGTTATAATAAAAGAGAATGATATTTTTTTCAGTCCAAGACTACGTGTCTCATCTCTAACCTTGGATTCTATGGCGGTCTTCGTCACGCGAACAAGTTGGGCGTTGTGTTGTTTGCCGGTTTTTTTTCATGGATAGGACGCAAGTAATACGGATTAGTATGGCATCAAAGGATAATATTCTGAACATATCATATGACATATTAATGAAAAACTAAAAATAAAATTGTTTGTTCAAACTGTAGGGCTTCCGTGTCGAATTAAAGTACAGTTAAAAACTCCCTAGTCAACAAAACCTAATCGTTTTTTGCTGCTATCAAACTACAATGAGAAATGACTAGATTTCGCCACATGCTACCCGTCGGAAGTGTTTGATGCGATCATATTAGAAAAGTTGTACCTAAAAATAGTTGGTTATCTTAGCCGACTTCGACAGAAGATATTTTCAAATATTCTTTCGGTTTCAATGTTCGCCGGATGCCTGCTTAGCAATTCACGAGGCCTCAAAACGTTTTATTTTAAGGCATAAGTTTCAATAAGTTATTTCGCCATTTTCTCAGTAAAAGGTGTGTCTCTTTATATACAGTATATATCTTGATACTTGGTGTAAGTTGATTGTTTTTCGACGGACGGTAAGTCATTTAGTAGGGGACGCGGCGAGCCGAGGAGCACATAACTGAAACAGATTTAACTTCTTCAGTAATACGTGAATATAACACTCGGCTCAGTGTTATATTTTTGGTGGTAAGTTGTGATCGACCAATCCGACTTCCTTGTTTTCGACTTTCCTTCGATTGTAGTCCGGTACAAACCGATTTTTTTAACCCCTCCTTGACACATTGTCAGTGACAACTCATTTGTTTTGATCGTGCAGCACTTTGCCAATTCTATTTCTGTGTTAAAGTTTAGCCAATCCATAACGTATATAAACGAGTAGACCAAAGGAAAGTTTGGCTTAAATAAAACCTTTTTTCAAGCTTAACGGAGTTACCGCAACTAATCGGAGTAAGTATCAGCTGTAGTTTCCTTGTTTTATATAGCTACCCCTTGTTTACGAGAGAGATGTTTAACATTTTTACTACCTTGTCAACATAAAAACCATGTTTTGTTCTTGGGTGCTTGCACGTTTGAGGGGCCGACGTGCTGAAATTAACAGATAAGCCATCTTCTAAAAGCAATACCGGCCACTGAAAATGTCAGTTATGTTCTATATTCAAACTGCGCACATGGTTTGATATGACAAGAGCTTTTGGTTCCAAGGCTTCGTGTATGTGGAATTTTAGTGCGGTTTCGAGCGAGACAATCACCCTGTTTGCATGCTATGTCCGAAATATCACCCAATTTATGACAACTCTCTCAGCATAGAACGACAATGTATTAACTAAATAATTTGCAATAGGAATTGACAAATACTTGTGAAAACATAGTTCGTGGCAAGTCTGACCCGGCGTTTCGTCTCGGCCAAGAGACTCTTCAGAGACCTTTAAGAATTTAACAGCAAACTCGTTGAGCATCGCGCTCAAAGTCCCGTTTGTAAATTCAAGATGTTAGCAGTCTGGCCTTCTATCGCAGAAGGATTCCCAACCGCACGTACGTTCACATTTATACAATAGGAATTGACAAATACTTGTGAAAACATAATTCAGTAATTTGCATTTGTTATTTTCAAGTCATAGAAAAGAAACCTGGAGGTGCTATAAAACGGCGTTAAAATTTAAGTGCGTCACAATTTGTACTACTAATTCGCCGAATAAATTCTGGAAATTCACGGCCACTTTCAGTAAAATGAGTCGAATCAGGTTCATTTCTAGAACCACTTATCGGTTTCGAATACTTGAACTTTAGCCTAAAAATAGTCTCATCTTAACACGAGGAGGGTTCGGAGAATTCGAGACAGTTGTGCAAACCCGAAACGCAGTCGAGGGTTCGCATAACTTTCGAGAATTCACCGAACCCCCTAAGTGTTAAGATGAAAAAAGTACTCTATTGCTTTTATTAAATGTTTCTCAAGAATACGAGCGAATCTAGAACGCCAAAACCGTGTTTACACACTCTCAGCTAAACAACCCTATCGACCAGTGAGCGCGCGCGTAGTATCTCAGTCACGTTATAAAATGTAAAACATCCGTTTGGAAAGCGGAAAGTCAAGGAGACTGTGACGTGCAGGGAGAACTCATGCCACATTTCAACTTAAAAAAGGTAGTAGTTTCTAAAGAAAATCTCGGCCGTGCTGCGTCGGCAAGCCAGTAAAACAGTTAGGTGTTCATCAACTTGAAGTCGATAAACTTAAATTAACCCTCGTAGCGAGTCAGTGAAGCTAATTCTTTTTTATGACTCACGGACACACTCATTCTTACGTTTTTGAAACGAAACAAGAAAATTGGTTCTCAACCCTTTAACGCAAGCCTCTGTTTACATCGATCTTTTTACTTCAATATTTGGCGTGTTCTTCTAAATTAGCCGGTTCTTCTAAAGCCGGTTTTTCAAGTTAGAAGAGTATTCTCGAAAAACGTCTTGTCAAACACAACTTCGCATTGAACTTTGTAGACTGTATTAATCACTTGACACGTGATTCCCAATGTACTGGCATATCGTGCCCACTGCTGAACAAACAAAGCAAAAAAATATTGAGAATATTCTGCTTCGCGTTTTGTTTCGAAAAATAAAACTGTAAAATCAACTTATTACAAAGAACTGTGGAATATGGCTTGGTCGTTAAACAACTCAAACCCATTAAGCAGAGATTTCGTCGTCATTCTGATAAAAATAGAGAAACTAATGATGCGATGTTTATGTTCAGCGTACTTTGTTTAGGTATTTCCACTTCTACTTAGAGTTGTTATTCAGTTCACTTCCTTTTTTCCAGTTGAAAAAAAAAAAAAGACCATTTTAGGTGGCTTTCGTGAAATGTTTTGTGGTTTAAGTTTCCTTGTGCACGTGCCTTTTAACACTGACTCAAGTAAAATCACTGACATCACTAACACCAAAAACAACTATTATGTACATAGGTTAATCTTCTGTAAGCAATTCTAAACCTACATCTATCGTCGTATACATTTTCTGTTAACACGTTTTATATCCTTTAATCTTTAATTTTTAATCTTGTAAGGCATAAAAGCAAGTGAAGTGCACACTCACATATCCTGCTCACGCACGTACCGGGCAGCTTAATCCAGTTAAAACATTTAATGAATCCGTGAATGAATACCACGTTTCATCAAAGTTTGTTCGTTGGTTTTGGAATGAACACTATAAATCCAACCATTTCATCGGTTTTGTGCTAATGAAGTTTATCCGCAAAATGTGTTGTGTGCTCCCTTTTCACTGAAAGTTACAGCGAACAATTTTGATATCCGAGGCCCATCTTACACTACATATTATATTGCAAATTTTATAAGTTGGGCTCCAGACATAAAACCTCGAAAACGGAGAAGTTGTTTTCCCCTCGGTAGGCCGATTAACATTTTCTCCATGAAACAATAGATATGGATTACAATGGAGGCCGAGACTGATTTTATCTCTTTTCACCCGAAATTTCGCGATTGCTTTATAATGACTGTGTGTATGACAGATGCAAGTCTGCACACCGTGCTCCATCTATCAGTCACATCTGACAGATCTAACATACTACGCCTAGAAAGTCCTTGAACTGAAGTGTGACAGACAATAATACCAACTGTCCATTGTTGGATTAGCTGTGTCTTCAGACTTTACAGGAGCCGAGAAGTCGAGGTGTTGAAAAGCTCGACTTTTCACTTTGTTTTTGTCAAGTTTAAGGAACGGTGTTGATGTCATTGGACTCTCATTAATGACGCGAATAAAAAAAATCCCCGACTAGAATGGCTCTTCTAATTTCCTAAATGCAGCTAAACGACATTTCTTGTGCTGTGTATTGTAAAAAGACAAAGCCCTTTTAATGTCAGGTTTAGCCACACGCTCAAGGGGGCTAAGCTTCAAGCTAATTCGTACGAAGTCAGTTTGTTTACTATAACAAAACAATTTTTGTTATCACGGGGTGATGGGATGACCCATTGCAGCAAACCGGAAATTGCAGTGATTAGCAGTTTTACAGCAACAGCATGTCCTGTGTCTCCTCACAATGGGTCGATGACACATCAATCATTAAAGAAGCTCAGTTACACAATTATTGACAGTTGATGATGTACAAGTAATCTACAAAAGACCATCGCGATCTCTTCACTCTTCATTCGTGATCTTCATTTCACAGCTTCAACACGGCTTTAGTACAAGCCAGGATGTCTCGTTCAAGCTCGCTAGTAGCTGTGTTCCTACTCGCTTTTATCCCGTGCTTGGTGTTCTCTGCAGAGATTCCAAATCTTCAACCCGGCGATGAAGCTCCCTCATTTGTACTACAAGCAAAAGACGTCCGAATCAGAAGCAATGACATTCTTCTCAAGTATAGAACAGGCAACGATTCCAACATTCATGGACCCATCGTCTTCCTGGCTTACACAAATCGTTCAGGATTCCTAGAACGTCTTGTGTCCGATCCAGATTGCTTCAAAGAGCTTTTGGAGAACTCCCCTGACAATACAAACTACGTGTTCCTTTTTTATGCGGGGTCGTCATCCACGGTCAGAGGAGCCGCTAGAGGGTTAGCACAGAAGTTCGAATCAACCATGCAGGCCTATTATTTAAACAGGTAAGTCATCAGCCAAAGCCGCTCACCAAGTCTTTAGGCAAGTGTTTTTATTTTTAAAGCTGTTTGATTTTGTAATCATGTGCTTGCATTTGTAAGTGACGATTAAGAGTATTTCGAGGCCTTGACACTTTTTTTTTAAAAACTCGAAACTTCCCCAAGAAAATGAGCATGAAGAAACAATTAGGCGTGACTAGGCGTGTTTCTTCATGGAAAATGACTGATGAAGGCAGGCCAGAGAAAATATAAACATTGAGTAAGCAAAGTGCTACAGCGTTACCGTCAGAGCGGACAGTCCGTGAATGCCTCCAAGCAGCGAGGTTGGCTCCCACCGGCCTTGACCCTACCCGGCTCCGTGCTCCGGAAACCAAAGATTTGACTTCGTTTATCCCAGCGGAAATACCTATTAACACACTACTCAACTTAAACAGCTAGTCACTGCAAAAATCGTGGAGGGCTACTGCACTTTGAGTATCTTAACCAGCTCACAGCGCTAAACATTGGCGAAATATAATGCGTCATAGAATTAGTGATTAAACTGCAACATAACACTCATGTTGTTGATAATTCGAGATTGGGTAATAGAGTAGATTTAACCTTTGATAAGATTTGTTGTAAATTGTTAATTTCCCAGCTGCTGACTTCGTTAATTAATTGAGTATTAGTCGCAATCACTGAAATGTAAGCCCATGACCCCTGGATGTATCAAGTAAATTGACATTTCAAGTATATTCGGAGAATTCCTGGAACGAAACATGCGCCAAGTCAGGGGCCTTCCTAAACAATTCTGGCACTGAGCCATGTGAGCATGGCTTCCATGTTCAAATGAAATATCGTATCAAAATATCATTAGCAAAATTTTTATACATGATTGATAGATTTGTGCGAAATGTTTTTATTTAGTGAGACTCCGAGAATAAAACTTGGAAGGCACGTGCTCAGTTGTGTTGAAAGCCAAATAGTTTATTATATTAGAAAGTATTAAGCTACATTCCGGCTTTAACGGGTTATTTGCAGTATCCAAAAATAGATTGTTTGTCCCTTTAGAAAAATATGTAAAACCTCAAGTTTCGAGTTCCGAGTTCCAAGTTCAGAATAGCAGTTTCCTTCAGATGTTATACATTATATATTACAATCGTTTTTAATGGCAGCTCCGAGACTGTTGGAGTAAATGAAGACAATATCCCCTCGCTTACAACAATCTTTACTGAAGTTGTGATCATGATCATAACCAATTTCATTTTTTTCAAGATTTCGACAGGATACCAGTATGGCAAGTCGTGTGCGTAGATTCCCATCATGGCCAAAACCTGTAAAAAAAGATTTCTTTGAGAGCTGGATTTCACGGATGTACTTCGCAACATTCCCCGTGTCTACCCTAGGGAACTGGATCCCACGGGTATTATCTCAGTGGTACTGCTCCGGTCATGGGTGTGGCTTTAATCAGATCGTCATTGAAAATGCTAGAGGTAATCATGACGTAAGAAATCATTTCAATGGAATGGGAAGCTGTTTTGTCTTAAGCCATTTTTCCGCGATGTTTCAGTAACCAACGCTCGCGTACATAATTATCTGTATAAGGGGAATAAATTGCATGTAAGGGTTGTAGATCAAGGGCCTTTTTTGACGCATCCAAAATCATAAACACTTCCTACTAACCGAGCTCGAGGGCCGTACTGTAAGTTACGGACCGAATTTTTTCCCCGTCGATTTCTTGAGCCATAAATCGACGGGGAAAAAACGAGGATCCGTAACTTACAGTACGGACCGAGAAGACTAGGTTATTAAGATATTTATTATATCTCTACTGTGTGTCTGACGGGTTCGGGAACGATTTATATTCACGCGGAACGGCTTCAAATTTATGACGCACGTCAAAAGCAAAACGAGTCAGTTTGAAATCGTTGTTAAGTGACTCTTAAGTCGTTAGCAGGTTTTAATACACAATTTTAGAAGTAAATGAAAGTTTTAAACTTTTACTTGCTATAAAAATTAAGAACACATGGCGATAAATCAGGAAACATTTTGGCAACAAAAACAGCTTTAAATTTTAGCGGGCCGTACAGTAGAATATGGCCCCCTAAATTGACCAATCACAGCGCGCGTTCTAACTAAGAGATATAATAATTTTGAGTAACTTTCACTTTCAAGGCTAGAACTTTTGAACGGGTGCTTAATTCGTGATCAGAATAATTATGATGATGAAGGCCAACCTCACTGAAACAGTGTTATCGCATTTATTATGGCTCTGTAACTTGATTGCAGGTGGAATTCTTCGCGTGTCGAAGCGTTTAGATGCACGTTATGATTGGCTGCCATCACCAAGCACGGCACTTGCCAAATATGGTCATCTGTTGGTGCTGTTTGTGGGTGACGCTTGTGATGGAAACATACTTATGAATGTCAAGGATGATTATCTCGCCCTTGTTTCAATGGAGGGCGCTAAATGTTCATATTTTACAAAGGTCAGTAGTTTCTCCTTTACAGTTCAGCATATTACTATGGGATTGTCCTGGGCTTGGCTTTTTGCCAAGCTCTTCATCTGTCAGATGTTTTGTCACTCATCCGATATCACACGGTCCCTGTAGGTTCAAAACTGCGAGAAAAATGGCGCCCGTGGAGTTTTGGTATATGCTGCTCCGTCCCAGTCTCTAGCAGACATGAACTGTAACGGTACGGAATGCAACACACAGCTCAATATTCCGGCTTCCATGATTCCACATGACGTCGGAATAGAATTGAAAAGTTCGTATAATTCGTACGTCCGTTTCCAGACCACACCCTCAGACACTTTTGTATTTGGAATTGATGGAGAAGGGAAGGTGGAAGAAACTGGCTGGTTCTTGTATCCTTCCATGCTCTTCTTGGCATATCAGGCCCAATGGTAAGCTGTAACCTTCTGAACTAAAAATATATTGAACATATCGCAGTAATTATTTTACCTTTTAATGAGCCCATTATTTTTTTTAAATCTGGCCAACGAACTTTTTAAAACAAACAACAAAAACAACAACAAAAAAACTCGTCATGCGTTTCCTTAAAACAAAAGGTAAAAACCTTTTGGGTTGTATTGCTTGGCTAACAACGAATGAAGTGGCTTGAAGAGTTTGACAGCAGTGCGTTTAGAAAATGTCAATGATTCTACATCATTTTTTTTTCAACATGTCAATGTAGATGGTAGTCGGAAGTCGCTAAGATTTAGCTGACTCGAGTATTATCTCTGACTTGTGATAAACTACTGTTTTTCTTTGTATTTCCTAATGTAGGTTTAACTACAAAACAGAGCTGCTAAAGAACCTGACGACAGGCGATGCTATAGTCATCAATGTGTTTAACCACACCGTGATGCAAGGAGAGAAAGGAATCACCGCAACGGTTGATTTGCCGTCCATTGATGGTGAGATTGTCCCCCACTACAACCACCAGAAACATATCCAATTGACATATAAAGTAACGTATGTTAGCAAACCAGATTCCAAACACAGTCAACACGTGCTCCTTCGTCTGTAGCAGACAGACAGTAGAGCTATTGCTACTCCCTTAGAATCCATAGCAAGTTGTCTCTGGCAAAAATTTACCAGCGCATGACATGTGGCATTTTTGTTTCTCTCCTCAGACCTCCAGCAGTATGAACACGTGGAACTGGATTTCTCTTTGTCTTGTCCAGGCTCCAGAGACGACACATGCGCACATTGGGATCACGTGATACAGTTGTACGTTTGTTGCAACGCTTCCAATGAGCTTTGTGGCCTGGAACTAGGCAGATGGATAACGCCTTTCAGACGGTAACTATTCTACAACCTAAGTACATGTGACAAAAAGCATTAGGACGAAGCCTAGTATATTCATTTCAAACGGCAGCTCAAAAGGTAATGAAAGCATATGCATTTTAACACCAAATTGAAATTGAGTTTTTTTCTCACAGACGCATCGGACACTGGTTGACCCCAGTGAAACCGCTGATCCCACTGCTACAGTCTGCAGACTCCAGTTCCACAAACAAATGTAATTTTACAATGAAAACAGTTCCTTGGGCGATGGCCTGGGTTCCATCACTTAACATCAGACTTGTTAACAAAGTACAAGGTAATGACTCTGCAAAAAGCCAGCCATTAATCTATTGATCAATCAATAAATCAGTCAGTCAGTCAGTCAGTCAGTCAATCAATCAGTCGATCAGTCAGTCAGTCTGTGAGTCCGTCAGTCAGTCAATTTATTAGTGTCAAAAGGTGGGACGAGTTTGCCCTCCATATCCGTGCAAGAGGGTCATACATAAAACGCTTAAGGTGGCCGAACACAGTTTTCGCGCGCGCTTTTGCTGATGCAATTGAGCGCGCGCACAAGGATTGCAAAGAGCGATCATTTTATTTACTCAACACCCGCACTATCTGTGCTATTTTTTCTCTATTGTTGAACGCAGTGCATTGATGGCTTTAGTCTTTTATTACAAAGATATGTTAGAAAAGGTAACGACGCAAAGAAACCAGCAATTTTCAGCTTTCTCTTTGTTACCGAAAGAACCCAGTTAAATGCAGCGCATGCGCAGTTGCTCGAAAAATTGAGACCGATTGCTTTTGCAGAAACTTGCG